TTATCTTGAATTTCTTTCTTAAGGTATAGATGTCACTTAACCTCAAGGATTTTTCTTCACATGTCTTATTCAATATTTTTTCTTAATCGTCTACTAAATATATATTCCCTCCTTTCATTACCTTGGTTTTAATTCCAAATCAATCAATAATCCTAATCAAGATGTAATTTTTTGTCGAAGTACAATCCACAAGTATTTGACATAGCTATCCTCTTAATCAACCCGTTTGATACACCAATCAATCATTTTGATAGTTGTTCAAGGCCATATTGTTTGTCTCTCAAATACAACATCTATCTCTAATATTGGCCGTTGGTGCTTTTATTAAGGAGCCCTATTTTTCTACTCCATTTTATTATCCATTTGGTGACTCTTAAGATTGTAAATCTACCTTGATTTATTAGTACCTGAATTTTGATGTTTTGAACAACCTTCAATATTATGACCTAATTCTCAATAGTAAAAATACAATCCCTTCTATGACCAATATTTTTTATCTTTGTAATATTAATGATCTTTGCAAGATATTGATCTCCATTGATGTTGATTATTGTTTTATAGTATTGGATAGCACCATAGAATTTTGTGCTATAGATCATCTTCTATGATTTTTGAAATCTATAATATCGATCTTTTTTGTAATTCTAATTGCCTCCTTAAATGTTTGTGGATTCGTTAGTTCTACTTCTCGCATGACCACCATTTTCAACCCTTACACAAATGGATCCATCAACTCCGCCTTTCAAACATTGTCAATTTGGAGACATAGAGACTTCAATCGAGAAACATAATCTTGCATTGAACTAGATTGTGTAAGGTTAGTCAATCAATCGTGTCTTATCTTCTTTGTATTGATGGACAAATATTGATTCCTAAACTTACTCTCAAACTCCTTCTAATTATAAAATCTACCTTAAGCTCTATATCTTTGAGCTTGATGTTGCTATCAAATAGCTGCCACACCTTTCAAATAGCTGGGTGCATATATAATTCCTTTGGTGGTATTTGCCTCGAATAATTGGAGGTATTTTTGCATGCTAAAGAACTATTGGCATACATCTTTTCACCTTGAAGTTCCAAAGTATGTACCAAGCTTATTCAATTTCAGCATAGTAAATGTGGACTCTCTTGTCCTAAAAGCATCTATTTGTCCTTGCATAGTAATTGTTTGGCCTAAGAGATGTTGTATTTGAGTCTCCATCTAGGATTTCTTTGCCATGTCTTCCATGCTACAATTTCCTTATTGAACTCTACTAATATAATGTCTTCTTTACTTCCAATTGATTTCTTAAAAGTAACTCATGGAAGCTTCAAAACGATACCTGATGTGACCACAATAATTCACCTCCAAGTAGATGGTGGCTATCAACATACTACCAAAGAACAAATTAACACTTGCTTTGATATCAATGAAACGAGACTGGACTATCTTTAAAATCTAAGATTCTTTTAATTCATAATAATATAAATTTTGTCACAATATAGGACAACATAAATTGAAAAAAAACTAAACAAAACTAAACATAATAGAATATAAAAGGCAGAATAGAATTAAAGAGAATAAAACAAAATTGAACAAAAAAATAAAAAATCAAACTTTACTAATGAAAGGAACCAAAGCCATACTTGATTGAATATCCAAATGGCCTCAGCCAATCTTATTTATACTTTGTTCAACCATCTTGGAACTTTCTAGAATGTTTCTTATCTTAGACATTATATATTTAACCATCCTAAGTTCTTTCTAGAATGTTCTATAGTTGATCCCACATAGACCACCAACCTCACTTCAATTCTAAAAACTTCTAGAAACTTCTAAAACATGGTTCCAATTACCTATCTCTATGTGTCAATAATATGAATATCTTATCTATACCCTGTTACAATTCATATATATATATATATATATAGTTGGACTTTAAAAATTATTTCAATGTTGACATATTTTAGAAAGAATGGTATATTATAAATGAATTGTAGTAAATAATAATGCGTGGTTTATTAAATAAATAAATAAATAAAATATTTTTTTTATAGCTATCAAATGAGTCTATATTAAAAAGAATCCATCAGGTAATTGTGGAGCCATGACTAATTCAATTTAGAACAATATTAAAACATTTTTTTGGGTGTAGTATCCAATTACATATTAGTACTTTGTAGGACAACCTTTGGTCTTGATAACTGCTTTCAACCTCCTAGGCATACTTTCTATTAACTTTTGGCACAAAAATACTTCATTATTATTTTATTTTGTAGCTATTATTTTTCATAATTTCCAAACTCTTTTTGGTTTTATCTTCTACATGTTGAGCTAGCATTTGAGATACTTCCAAAGATGTTCAATGGGATTAAGATCAAGAGCCTAAGCAAGCCAATTTATTATTTTAATCCCATGATAATCAAATCACTTCCATGCTAGTTTTGAATTATGTTTGAGGTCGTTATCTTGCTGAAAAATCACCTCTTCCTCAAAAATGCTAGATTCTTTAATGCTAGGGAGTAGGTTTTTTTTCAAGAATTTCCACGAATTGCTTAGCATTCATCCTCCCTTCAATTTTTGCCATCCTCCTAATTCCATTCTATCCCATACAACTCTATATCATTATATTTCCACTTCCATACTTAACTATTTATTAGTTCTTCTTATCAAATTAAGACTAATTTTTTTGTTTTGTATCCACTTTCTCTCATATGATCCAAATTTGTTGATTTTTATCTCATGTGACTAAATAATCATCTTCTAATCCTCCATAGTCCATTCCTTGTACTTCAAAACAAAATCCAAGTATTATTTTTAATAGCAAGTAGATAGTAGTGATTTTTTCTTCTTCACCATGGATTTCATATTCCATTTCTTGAAAATATTTCAAATGGTTTGGATTGATACAAGATTACTTATATTATTATTAAGGTTTTTAGCAACATCAACAACATTTTCAACCTTCTCAGTGTTGATTTGGCAAATGATTGCTCTTTCATCTACTATAATGAGTTTTTTTGGTCTGCCTAATTTAAGATTCTTACTATTGAAAGTGATCATTTTTATTAGCCTAGATATAATAGCTTTACTACAGCCAAGTTCAAAAGAAATTTGGCCATAAGATTTTTGAGAATGAAGAAGAGCAAAGGTGATGTTGTCTTGGAAAGAGTAAGAAATGGATCTCATAGTTGTTCAAGGAATTGTCAAGGACATAAGAATCTGACAAAGAAATATGTCAAGATTAAAGACAAAGAATGAAATTGATAGTAAAAGTGGTTCCAAAGACTTCTATTTATACTATAATGAAGGTTACAAAAGTCTATGGTACTTTCTATAGAAGTTTTTAGAGTCTAACGAGGCTTCTAGAAGTCTATGAAACTTTCTAAAAGATTATAGAAGATTCTACAAGTATCTAAAAGGTTATAGAAATTTGCAAATAATTCTAAAAGATCCTAGAATGTTATAATTTAGAATATATCTGAGCTAGGAATTGTGATTAAGAATGGTACTTTTATAGCTATTAATAAGTATTAATGATGTCATTAGATTAGTAATAATATTATTATAGTAAATCTAATGATGATAGAATTTTGTAATATTAAGTAATTTATAGAATCTAAAAATTAAACATCACATTCAAAAAATTATTTCAATACTATTTCAAATTAGATTGGTCATAGCTCTGCAATTACCTTATGGATTCTTTTCAACTTATCAACAATGTTTTTATCAATTGTAAAATGGATTACAATTCAAATCATAATCACAATGGTAGCATGAAAACAATGGGAGATTTTACACCTTGATGTGAAAGTTGCATGCTTAAACAAGATTTTGATCAATGAAGTCTACATGACACAACCCAAAGGCTATGAAGATAATAATTGAAGAAGTTTTGTATGAGGGTTGAGGTGTGCCATCTATGGCTTGTAGCAATTTGGACACATATACTACATTAAAATTGATACTTACATCACAACCATTCCATCAAAGCAATATTAATTATAACTTGTACATTAATGTATCCACATCCAAATCCTGCACATTATTGATTCTTTATGTAGATGACATAATGTTTATAGGAGATGATACCATAGATATCCAAAAAACCAAAGAAGCACTAGAAAAGAGGTACAAAATGTTGAATTTAGGCCAAATAAAACTTTATGTAGGACTACAATTTGTCCACGCACCTAAACACATGTACATTGCAAACCTAATCAAGAAGTTCTGCCTACAACGATGTAACCATTGTACAACACCAATGGAGGAGTCAACCCAGCTACATTTCAGCATGGATTCTTAACCAGCAGATGTCGACGTATACCAAAGTTCGGTAGGAAGTTTAATCTTCATTACCCACACCAAACTCAACCTATCCTATGTTGTCAGTGTACTAAGCAAGTTGCTTACAAATGCCAAGTAGCAGGGTTGACCTAACTCAAGGACACTGGAGCACGCAAAGCTGGATATCAGATGTGGCGGTATGGCTGAGGAATTTGATACGCACTGCACAACTGCGATCGATCTGCTAGCTTCCGTGCCAGTAGAAGCTGGATTTATACTAGTGACTTGCATGACTATAGGGTGCTGGTGATTCTTCATGGGCACGTTCGCAGTGGTCGAGGTCACTGTTTGACAATTTGCGTCTCCAAGCGCTGCATGACGGCACGGCGTGCAGAAGGTATTGAATAGTGGTTTAGTGCAGTTAGGTGGTCTTTTCGTCGAAAGCTTCGCCGCAACGGGATCTGGGTCTGTCTATGTGTCTCGGAATTTCCAGGAGCAGGGTGCCGAGATTCGGTTCGAAGGGGCATGATGTGCGTGCTTGTTGAGGCGGGTGAAGTTGTCGATGGCGAGGTGTGAGGCTGGGAGGATTTTTCTTGTCTTCTCGAGGAGCCCACAATGTCATCGCAGAACGTGAATGTTCAATTACTTAGGATTGAGGCCACAAGGACAGAATAGGTTTTCGAGTCAATTACATGAGCGCACCGCAGAGTCGAAAAATATCTCTTCGGAGTTGTCGGACAATTCGGCCGGCACAGTAATTACACGGCATTTATTCGAGTGAGGGTTTTTTGGACGGCAATTCAATGTAGTCTTAGAGAATTCTACGGCAACCCACGAACCAGAACGGATCGTGCCGTGGACATTATTACCTGTTGTCTACTTATCTTCATCAATCTGGACAAACAGCGTGACCCGAGAATCGAATCCTGCAGCTTTCAAAGTCTTGTCTCGGTTTCCTGAGTCGTAGACAACTCGTGGAAAACTGGAGAAGAGAGTGTATGAAAGCACATCGAAGCACATCAGTGTGTCGACGTAGTCATACACAACCTGCACAGTCGAAGTGTTCAGAAACGTGCGTTCACATAGCTCTCCATTTGGCAGTCGTATACGTACCTGTCACATATCAAGTGACTTGTCAAAAAACACCCAATAGTATGAAACCAATTAGCTGGAAACTCAACACTTCTGCACTGACTGCGCCTGAAAGACGGAACAAATGAATCTTTCACTGAAATACTGATGTTAATCTGATAACTGTTTTTATTTATGTTTTTTTACCAATTCCATAATAGAAATTCATGGGGTTGCTTCAAGTTCAACATGCAATAGCATGTTATGAATGCATAATTTCTAAGATGGATTTATACAAGCGAATGATACACCGAGGAGGTATATCATACTCTGATTACATCCGGGCCAGGCTCGGGCTCAGTCTCCAGAACATCTCCCTTTCGGCGGCGACGGGCATCAAGAGCAACTTCCTTCTTCGCTGCTGCGGCAGCTGCTTCTTCCACTTCCCTCTTCTTTCGTGCTGCCCGCAACGCCTTCTGCCGCCTTCGATCCTCTCTCTCCTGTATACAAAGTAAAATTAGACCTCTCTTATCATCAAACGCCCCGATAAGTTCATTGTTTTACTCATGCTGGCGTAGTAATTTTTTGCCGAAAAATAACGATATCAATCAATCAATTTGTTTGTATGCACCGAAGGGATTGCTCATCAAAGCACAACGTTCATCGAGATGTATTTCACAATCCAACCTAGTTCCTTAACAACGCCGGAGGTAAAAACCTGATCCTGGAGAAGTGCAGCCTGATACTCGGCATCCTGATCTGCTCTTAGCCTACGCCGAGCACGGGCCCGCTCCTCCTCAGCTTCTTGTGAAGCCACTCCATTCTGATCCCTTTCGTCCACGATGACTTCGAAATAACAAACGATTTTGTACTGGGCACAACCGGTTTTTCATACTCTACTAGTTCCAGTCTTGAAACGCACACTTTCAAGAACCTTGTCACCCTATTGCACTCTAGGGCATGAGTTCACCACAATTTCAACAATGGAGACATAATGAAAGATCAAGATATCAAGGTCGAAAACACATGCACAACATGCTAGCATTTCCTTTAGCTTTCAAGCAGGGAAAGCATTTTGGCAGTATGAATTTATCGCAAGTGTTCAAAGGGCCTCCTCGTCATGAAGAACAATTGAAGAGACTCTACGGGCATCAGTTTTGTCGAAAGGATGCCTCCATGTGTAATGTATCCCTAACGTTGTTACATACAGGTACAATTAATCACAAAATAACCCCGTCTTCAGTGCAGCACGAGACATTAGTAACCTGTGATGCCTCATGAAGACGCAGAGTCAGCCAGGGACGAGCCCAGGACTGATGAAAGCTCCACTCGCTACTCCTCATATCTCATCAAGCGGTTTTGCATGTTACTGATCCAGCGCCATTCATCCAGATTGAGCTTGCGGAAACACACTCAAATCCTTTACCCTTTCAGACTAGCCCTCTCAAATCCTGCCAAGTGCTTCAACCTTCCATGGCTTAAAGTTGAAGATCACTCAGACAGACATTTGCCTGCTTCATTAATGCCTTACGAGCTACGGCGAAGCCAATACCGTAAAGCATGTCAATCAGATCTGATGCACTGGTCTCTAAATGTGGCAAGTAAATGCAAAGCACGAAAGCGGTTTGAGCACATAACCGAGGGCTTCAGTCATTCAACACCCGAGAAATCGTGTAGGCACTCGTGTCCCCGAGGCTAAGATTTCTAAGCTCAAGCGCAGCAACATATTCTAAAATATCCAACTTCTCCCACCTCGTCTCAAACCATGTTTGCAACTTCTCCTCTCTTGGTCTCACAACCACGGCCACTTCATGACTTAGACTAAGATTTCGCTTTTTCTAAAGCTCCACATCCTCTTCTACAGTGGTAGTGTACCATCCAACGCTCTTCACCACCCTCATTGCCGAGGAGTCTCGTTCCATTTTTCCAACAAATCGAGGGTTTCTCTCTGCTCAACAAATTCGCAATCGTGTGCAAGATCTGCGTCATTCTTAGCTCCTCTATAACGAATCAGAACCTACTGTCTAGATTTTAAATTTGCTGCAGCTGAATCTGCAAGTGGGTTCCTGTGCATTCCCCTTTATTTCAGATTTGACCATTTTCTTCTTCAAATCACTCTGGGCACCATTGCCGACATCTACTCCACAAGCCGACGGCAAGGTCGTCACTCATTGGGGAGCAATTTAGCGCGTCCGACAGATCTTCAGAAACCCAAAAATACTGCATCAGAGGGAGTAAACACCAGGATCAAAAATTTCAGCCTTCCTTTTCCGAGGCCTTACCCATCAATTTGTCATAATCATCCTCGAGAAATTCGACATGACCAAGAACGGGTCCCAGAAGGTGGGTTTCGTTGCCAACTCCTCATCGGACCAATAGAACGGGGAGTTCATCGTCTTGAGAAGACTGAACAAGTCAGGCCATCATTTGGTATTTGGATTCGAAGAAACGTGAATAATGAGTCATTTTGCCCTTACATTCTGAGTCACCCAGCTGCGGATTGTTTTCTGCATTGTTACGATGTCAGCAGACTGATTCCAAAAAATCCTGGATTTGGTCTGTTCAATTCACGGTTAGCCATGCCGCCCAACTCAAAACGTCTGCCACATCTACACATCTCATTGCTTCGCCTTGAACACATTCTGATTGTGCTGACCTTCACAAGCGTTTGCGTCAGCGGCAAACTCGGGTGCTTGACGGAGCCAGGATAAACCTAATGTTATTTTCAGCTACAACTTTGCCCTCGCATAATTCTTTACCACAGATATAGCTCTCAGTGCATCAAGTCGCCGGGAATTTTCACAATCGTTATCAAAGAAACCCTCCAAAAAGGTTGAGATATCTTGTGTAATCTCGGCAAAAACACCACAACCTGGAATCCCAGGCTCCCCAATCTCTACAGCTCCCACATTCAAGTTGTGTTCCTGATCCACAAGCGGAGTGAGGAAGGGTTTTGTGGCCACATCGGAATGCAGAGGTGCACAATACATTGAGCTCTGCAGAGCAACTGAATAGGAACCTAGTTTGGAGAAGATCATGCGTCAAGCTTGGTTTGAGACCATGCGGAAAACCGGGAATCAAAGTTTCTTCCAATGATAGAATCTAGAGGATATTTCTACTCAAGCGATGAATATTTTTATGCACTTTTCGTCGGAAAAAATATACCAAAAGGGTTAGTGAAAAACCGTGTGATAAAAGTATCGTGCATGAGTGGGCCAAGGGGAACTCTATGATTCTACGCATGCTCTTACGCGCAGTCCGGCTCCATTACACTTCTTCCCTCCACTTCCTTCAGTTCTCGCTTCTTGCTGGTTTAGGCGAAGCTGCCTTGAAGCTCTTATGCCCTTGCTGCGTTAGCCTCCTGTGCTATCTCTGGTGAGTTTTGCGTGCTCAAAATTTCGACATTTGTGATGTTCCCTCTCAAAGGCAGTTTGATTTGGGAATAGGGTTTTGTGGTGGTTGCTGTGGAGTGGCCCTCGGATGTGTGCACTTTGAGTCGGTGCGATCAGGGATGGGCGTGTGGGTTTGAATAAAAGAACTGGGTGTTCTTGATTGCTTCAATTTTTATGAGAAACTTGAAACAACCCACTGTCTTCTATGTATTAGGGGTTTTTCGCGGGAATTAGGAAAAAGAACAGGACGTTGGTTGTAGTCTGTCTCACAGGGGTTCATTGTTGCAATTAAACTAATACCCCGGACTTCAACTCACTTTCAGGATCGGGTATCAAGAACGCGTGCATTGGAGATTTTGTATTATTGTATCAACAGGTTCAAGAAATTTGATGGAAGAAGTGTTGTGAACAGGTTCGCCAAGCGTGTAGCTATTTGAAATCAAGCTAAGTGCTCATCTCTTTGGTTCTTCCATGGCGGACAACGACATGGACCAACAGAAATTAGCATACTTCCAAGAAATCACGGGCGTGAAAGACTCGTCTCTCTCGCACCAAATCTTAGATGCGTATGGCTGGGACCTCGATTCCGCAATACAGGCCATGGTGGACAAAACGACGAACGTAATCCCTGAGTACGAAGAGAGTATGCGTGTGTCTGCTAGTACCAATTCCGACCCACAAACAGTTGTGCAAGCTAATACTGCAGATACAAGTCTTGGAATAGTGTCCACCAGTTTGTCACCCCCGTCCCACAATCCCTCGCCTGGTGGAATTCAAGTCACTGAACAGAGTTTTGTAGACGACAGATCGTTATTCGAACGAATCGGTGATGGGGAGCACTTTCAAGGGCCTTCTGCAGGAGTGGAGAGTTCCGATGGTACAACGTTTGTTTGGAGGGTAGTGACACTACCGTTCACTATCTTACGTGGGAGTTATAATATCATATATGGCGCCTTTGGCATAGGTATTTGGATGGCAAGAGGGCTTTTCAGCACTGGTGTAGGTATGCATTCAAATAATCCTTGTGTCACTGCTGATTATGTCCCTTGATTGTCTAAGGTTTCGCTTTATTCAATGTCTATGGCTATGGCATGTCTTAGAGCTTTCGAACACTGACAAATATCCTCTATCATATTCAGGTTCTTTGCGGTTGACTGAGGCTCCTAACCAGACCCCTGCTACTGCGGGCGGGTCTCAGCCAAATATTGCTCCCATTGTTTCAGTACCATCAGGGGCATCCGAGGCGTCAAATTTCTTAAGATCATTTGAGAGGCGCTATGGTGACTATCATCCAGAGTTTCAAGCCGTCAGCTTCATGGAAGCCTTACGAAGAGCTGGCCAGGAATATAAGTTCCTCTTTGTGTACCTGCACGCCCCGCAGCACGTCAATACTCCAGTCTTTTGCGAGACCACTCTTCGTAACGAAGCTGTCGTGGATCTCATCAATGAAAATTTCATTTCGTGGGGTGCGGATGTTCGCAATACTGAGGGATATCAAATGAGCAATAGTCTGAATGCTTCTACGTTTCCATTTTGTGCTGTGATTGCTGGCTCCTCCAACCAACGCATTGCGGTTGTCTGTCAGGTACAGCTGCATGAGTGATTGAGATCAATGATCTCAGCCAAAAGCTAACCGCTTCTCATGGGACTTTCGTATTCGAATTCACCAACTATTAAATCGTGGAAATTGATTTTTTGTGCTGCCCTTGAGTCGGCCGTACGGCTATTTCCTGTTATTTGTTAGAGATAGTTATTAATGTGTTCAGATTTTATGGATACCAGGTGGAAGGATACCGGACTGCAGGAGAGTTACTTACAATATTAGAGAATGTAGTAGAAGAAGAAAGTGCGTCTTTGAATGCCAGTCGACAAGAGCAAGAAGCACGTGACTTGAACTGCCGTTTGCGTGAAGAGCAAGATGAGGCCTACAGAATAGGCCTTCAGGCTGACCAGGTTCGGTCTTGTACTTCATTTCGTCTGTTTGGACACTGAGGAAGTTTAGCCGTGTGATCCTTTTTGAGTACTTGGTTCTCGTGTTCTTGTACTAATACCTCAAAGCTTTCACGAGAATTCGGGTTCTCCAATGGACTATAACCTGGGGATAGGGACGCACGTTTTGCCGAATATTTATGGCACATTTTAAATTTGAACTGTCTGCATCTTGTAGACCTCCCATTTAGTTTCAGTTGGCGTTAGTACTGTCGCTTTCTCATGTGTTTCTGTCAACTGCCGGTATTCTTAAGATCAGTGTATCATCTGTTTTCACTGGAACAAATCGATACAGGAAAGGGAACGAAGAGAACAAATCGAGGTGGACCGAGCTGCCAGAGAAAAGTTTGATGCAGACCAAAAGAAAATACAGGATGAGAAAGAGGCAGCTCAAGCCGCTCAAATTTCATTTCAAAAAGAAGCCAACTTAGCACGCCATCGGCAGGACTTAGCTTTTAAACTTGGACCAGAGCCAGAGAAAGGAGCAGATGTCACTCATGTATGTGTAGATATTTTTGTTTCTTTATCAAACAAGCAGCGTAACAAAAATTTCGGTCACTATGTCGCCTCTTGTTATTGTGAATATGCCATTGTATGGGTGTTCCTGACTGATTATTTTTTATGGTTTCCTTATGCTTGCCTTATCTACCTTGAACCATCTGAATTCTCTGTGTTTTTTCTTCTTTTTTCTCCCTATTATTTAAAAAGAAACTATACTGATAATCTGTTTTCTTCTATTTATTATCTGCAGGTGGCGGTGCGTTTGCCATCAGGAGAACGAAAAGAACGGAGGTTCATGAATACCACTAAAGTGAAGGCTTTGTACGATTACATAGAATCATTACATAGCTTTGAATCTGTGACTTTCCTTCTCATTTCAAATTTTCCTCGTGTAGTGTATGGCCCCGACAAGTTCGAATTAACACTGAACGATGCAGGGCTTCACCCTAGCGCGAGCCTCTTTGTACAGGTGCAAGAGTCTTAACTAGGTGAAACTTCTAATCCTGTACTTCAGTTTTCTGCAGGAGCACATGGTTTTTCCTGTTTGCTTAGCTAGTAATCATACTAAAAGGGGTTGTTTCTTGAGTTGAGTGATTTACATGTACATTAGGACCAGAACAAACCCACTTTGAGGATACAATTTTTGAGCAATAGTATTCACCTTGTAACACAACCACTGGTGAAGCACTGTTTTATACATCTCCCTTGTGGTCTCAAAAAAAAAGTTTGTGAAGTCTAGTTTGTCGCTCAAAAGATCTCTATTTAGTAACTGATTGCATTACTGACATGTGTCGTTCCCTAAAAAATGTATGTATTGCATGTAGAGGTGGAAGCAATCTACATAAAAAGAATCGTTGTGTTTTATTTCAGGGCTTGCTTCTGAACTGGGAGCGCATTGAAGGTGCTTGATATTTTTATTAGAGACCGACTCCTTGACACTTCTGTAACAATTACAACACCATTGGTAGTCATATAATTATGTAGTAGGTCCTCTGCTGATTATGTAAAAAGCGTGCCGACATAAAGTAGCTAACTTAATTGCACCTCAGTTGTAGTATGTGAAGGTGTACTAAACATTGATCCTAGATGATTTTAGAGAAGATACAGTTTCATTGCCACCAAGTAATTAATAAATAACAATTAAAATTTTGATTCTTCATTAGAATGTTTTCTAATAGAGCAAATCGAATTGTTGCACAACAATTAAAGTGGGTGTTGAAGCATAAAAGGTACCTTTATCAATTCTATATCGTTTATAGCTCTGGACCCAATAACATTCTTACATGTTTGTCTTGAGAACCCTGAAAGGCCGGTCCAAAATGAACCTGACGGAGCCACAAGAGAAATGATGATTTTGTTTTTGTAATTTAGGAAAAGTTAATGAAGCTATTTATTCTTTTGTAGGATTGTCAATATTTATATGTTCTTTAAATTAGTCAACTGTATCAAATATATAATAATATAAGTTAACTAGAAAATAATTCAATACACATAAATACTTCAAGACATTAAGAAAATATCAAGTAAATGTTCATTTGAATTGATTTTCAAGATGGCATTGATTTGGTAATATAAAAAATTGTTTTATTTAATAGAGTTATGTAAAGATTAATTAACATATAAAAAAGCCTCTGATAAGCAATAATACATGTTTATTTATTAGTTCATTTTTATTAAGAAAAAACACCTCACTTTACTTTGTGAAACCTAAAGTATGTACTAATTAATTAAACAAGCTCTGAATTTAACTACAAAATTAAAGATACAAAAATAACTCAAACTTAAATAGTCTATTTTGTACTAAATTATAATTGTGTTTCTAATATTAAAAATATATATAACTAAGTATACTTATTATATTACATATGCAAAATATGCAATCTTATATTGTAAAAAAAAAAAAAAAAAAAAAAAAAAAAAAATTATGTAAGTTCAATGCTCAATCTTGCTTATACTCTTTCTATCACTTTTTTACATATAGTTTTTTTAGTTTAAAAATAAATATTTTTGAAATATATATAAAAATAATATTCAAAGTATCATGGTAGAGGACATATTTTTACTTGATCAACTTCTATTCTAAATTATATTTATTTAATAGTATACAAAACTTTTTAGCATTGCAAAAGCTAAACTAATATTAGATAGAATATGTATATATGTATATGTATATATACATAAACAATTTAATTTTTTTATAAACTAGTTAAAATACCAAATTTTGTAAAGTAATTGTGGTATTAAGCATAATGTCCTTAAATCACAAAAAATATCAAAAACATAAAAAATAATATAGATATTTATGATGTGTCTTGAAAGTGATCTTTAAAATATATATATATACATATATATATATATATATATATATATAGATATACACTTTTATAAAGATGTAATTTTTAAAGATTAGCTAATAATATTACATTACCTTAAATTTACTTATATATGCTTATATTTAGTCCTAAATAATTTAGATGGTGTTTAAATTTTAAAACTCCTGTAACAATCAACTTATTAATTAATCTATTTAATACATGTAATTTAAAAAAATATAATTTTTGCTAGATTTTAGGAGTGCTAGAGTAAAGTTTTTAAATGTATAAATAAAAGATTTGATATGATCTAATTATTTCAATAAAATTAATAAGATTTAATTAATTTATTGAACTTCAATTAATTAAGCTTGTAAATAGTTATATACAGAATAATTATAAGAACAAAGTATCTTATTTTAATATCATTGTAAAAGTAATAAATAATAAATTATTTTATAAATGTAATAGTAAAGAAGTCATGAAAGAGTTTTGTCAATTAGTTCTTGTATGATTTATAGGACATTCTAGTAATATTTAAGACTTGTAATACTACAATACATACAAATATTAAAAAAATATAGTCTTTTTTATATGAATAGTAATTTATAAATTAAATTTTTACAAAAATATTATATATATATATATATATATATATATATATATAGGAAGATAGAGAGAGAGAGAGAGAGAGTGATGTGACTGGTATATATTTTTAGAAGTTAATTTTAAAAAAAAATCAATTGCTCAATATTTCACTAAATTAATTTTTAAAAATTAGTCCAAAAACACAAATTGTATTTAGAATCTCAATAAAAAAATATTATTTAAAAATATTTTTAGAAGATCCTAATTGATGTTGCTAGTCCTTTATATATATATATATATATATATATAGTAGAGATTTCTGTATTATGTATAAAAGAAAAGACTGAACTTTTTAAAAGATATATATATTTTTAAATACAAAGATTTTGTGTGTGTATATATATATTTAGTGGTTTTTCTTTTTCATTTTTTCTTTACTTCCATGTACTACTATAAAGTATCTATAATGGTCAAAGAATAGAGTTAAATAATCCATTCTACTATCTATAAATTTAACATGCTTATCAAATGGTAGAGTATTGATGCTTACATGCAAATATTTTAAGTTAGTATTACCAATAAGTAAAACCAATAATAAAATTTATTTGTATTCTCTATGTCAAATTAGAAATAATCAGAAGATAGTGAAAAAGCTGTCATCAAATATTGTAAAAGAAGAATATTAAAATTGTTGCACCGCCATCTATAATGAGATAATAAAGTGCAATAGTGCATGTATGTATTTAAATTATATTTATAGACATTAAAAATATATATTTGTACAAGCTATTTATAAAAAACAAAAACAAAACAAAATAGTCAATGGTGTTGAAAAATTGAAATACCAATGGTATTTTAATGGCCTTTTTGACATTGAATTACAAATGAAGTACTTATTCTGCATATGTGAACAATATTTTATTTAGAACTTCATTTTTAAAAATAAGACATAATGTATATATATATATATATATATATATATCTTTCAAAATATTTATACCATATCAAAGCTATTGGTGTAGATTTTATAAATTCTTTATAAAAATATTTCTTACAACTTTATTGATATTGAATTTACTATTTGTGTAAAATATAAAATACAAATACTCTAACTAGAAGAACATTGATGTAATACATATTCTCTCTTTTTACAATCAATTATTCAAAGGGCAGGTAAGCTAACCATTCTTTCCCATTACGCTTTCAGACTTCACGACATTGATTCAAAACAATTCAAATATTGAATCGTCATTATTAAGGCAACAAAAATGAAATGGGTGTTAGCACCCATTTTGATTTTGAGCAAATAAGTGGCAACACATAAACTCTTTGATTGTGAGACAAGAAAACACAAGAATATTGAAATAATAATAATAATAATAATAATAATAATCTTATTATCTGATTTCAAAGGGATTATTTACTCCTGGTCCATGCAATTAAATAGTTAAGAAGCAACTTTCTTGATGTTTTGCAACTTCTAAGGTACAACTTAATAGACTTCTGAACTCCATTAACCTACTAGTCTCCTCCTACGAAACCTCCTGACACAATTTATTGAAATATAACGTACAAATCCAGAATACAATAATCAAATCACCATGTTCAAGTGGCTATATATATATATATATATTTGTGTGTGTGTGTGTGTGTCTCACAGTAATTTCATGCGGAAACAATCTGTTGCAAAGCATTCAATCCAGAATGCGAACTTTCTTTGAGACCTCACCGGCTGATACTTCATCAAGAAACACTCAATCCTGAATGTATTTCTGCATTAAGCTCTAGAAATAAAACCAGTATACTCCTCTTCTCCGTTGAGCTTTCCGAAGACTTACACAAATCGTAAAATTTGTAACACTGACTGTCCTCGATAGTAGGCAATTGCCATCCCACATGAGAAAGAGCGCAGTCGGAATAGAATGCGGAAATTCACAGCAAACGGATCTTCCCCACCTTACAGAAGCATGCGAGGCATGACTCTCGAAATGTGAACATACATCACTAAGTGGAACTCAAACTATGCTAGCCTGGAAAGTAAGACTTCGTAAAAACCAAAGCACAGCATCATTTTAAAGATGGTTAATGTACACATCACGTTACAAGAAAAGCTTGAATCCACACTGCGATTGTATGTACATAAACAATGCATGAACTACCCCTTGAAACATTAAAATGACATTCGAACAACTGTCATACAAAGAGGACCGACAGGAAAATCAGACGAGGATCACTTTTGACTCATCCCAGAACTGGAGTTCTGCATTAAAAGTTCTGCATTAAAGAAGTAACAAGACTGTACAGGATAATCACTTGTGAAGAAACTCCTAAGATAGACATTGAGATTGAACTGTGAATAAACCCTAAATTAGCAATCTCACCAGCGCATGCTCACAGAAAAACATCTGAGTCTCAATGTCCTTCGTCATCAAAATTTAAGGTCAGGATTCCAAATGAGGATCCGATGAATGTTCAAGGCAGTTTTACTCAGCCGGAAGAGAAGAATCGCCTGGATTAATCTTCGATTGCATCGCATCCACCTTGGGTTGAACTACAGAGAACAAGAACTCCCTGTCATTAGGATTTGTCGACTTTCCGTCTTCACCGTGTTTAACAACGATCTTCACTGTCCGCCTCTCTCTCATCCACCTCAACATCATCTTCATATGCCGCTTGCTCTTCAACCCGTGATTCTGCATCTACAATTCCCTCACCCAAGTCTTACTCGCTCAATCCAGGGTATTCCTCCCAAACACAAACTCAAAAGTACGAGAAGACAAAAGCAGCACCAGTGAGAGGGAAATAAAAGGGAGCCAATTATACCTGAGAAGCATGGTTCCAGCACTCGGAGACAGTTATCGGCCCGTGCTCCTCAAGAATCTTGTGAAGCGTCTGGGACGCAAGATGCACCTGCTCGCCCAAGTTCTGGACCTTGATGGGGCGAGGGCCTAGCTTTCTGGCCCACAAGACGGCGGTGGCAAACATGGCTTCTTCCTCGACACGATGCTCCTGCTGGTACGCCTGCTGCTGCTGCAACAGCAAGCTCTCCTAAACCCCCAACCTCATAAACCCCTTCTTCAACCCCAGGCCATGATCTCCCTCTCTCTGCAACCCGAATTAAAACCCTAACTCCCTAATCCCCCCACAGCCCGAATGTAGTGGATGGATGAATAATATTGATGAAAGAATTAAGGAGTGATGGTAGATGGATGTATTTTCTCTTCATCCTTGACCTCATCCACCACGAAATACACCTCCCCCAAGTAAGGGTAAGGGAAGTGTGTGACAAAGGGGCAAAGTGGAAGTCATGTTTGTTTGAAAGTTAGTTGCAAGGATGTGGGTATTTTCTCAAGGATGAAGCATTACTTGTCGATTCAAGCATCTTGCATTTATTTGCCATACTTGTTAGCTCATGTGTGTTTCACAAGTGTATTACAAGTAAGAAATGAGGCATTGTGGATACCCTATCCTTTTCTTGTTCTGGTACAAAGAAATCGTTTGTTGAGAACCTTCCTCATTAGGAGTGCACCCAACACCTTAGATCTCTTTTAACCACATTTTTTTAGACAATTGGAATTGCCTTTTTTTCATAAAATGTTTATTTCTGAAGGGTATTTTTATGACATTTTCTAGATCTCATATATATATGTAGGTTATAATATGTATATCTTATTTATAATATATTATGTAATTTTCAATCATTAAGATGTTTTATAACACAATTCAAATTAAAAAGAATGGAAATTTACTTTATATTATTTTAATGTTATTTTAGACTATTTTGTGCAAACAAAATGAACCATGAAAAAAATAAATTTTATAACATTTTAATTTTTTATCAGATAGTACAAAATAATAGTTGATTAAATAACTATATTAAAACCATATGGTAATTTATGACAAATAATTATGTTTATCAAAAGCTATTAATTTTGATGATTTTGATAAATAAAATAATAATAATAATAATCTTTAAATATACCAAAACATTTTAAATCAAAAAGGCTTAGAGATTGAATTTTACAATAGAAGCTATATAGTCAAATGTTACTTTTGAAAAACCCTGCTTTTTATGAAAAAAAATCATTAAAAGAATTTAAAGAATTAGAAAAATCAAATAAGACAAATGACAATATGAGTGCTTGCATATTCTTGCCACCAAAAAAGCATTAGTGTATGATAATAGAAGAGAAAATTAAGTAATAAGAGATTCTTTATACACAAAATCCTAACCTAACAAGTTATTGTTGTAAAAGTCTTGCACAAATCCTATATGTAGTTTAGATTGTTATTGCTCAGAAATCTTGGTCTTTGAAGATAGCATAAAACAAAAAAGAAGCCATGAGATATAGCAAATATTTTTTTAAATTACAATTCTAAATATGTCAAATCACATCTTCATTCTGACAACTATTTAAAAAAATCAAATGGTGGATTTGTTTCAGCAACATTTTAAACAGCTTTTTTAAGTTTGAAAAATAAATTCTTTAAGTTGGACCTATTACTAATTCCAAGAGACAACACTATTCATGCCCTGTAAAAAAAAAAAAAAAATGTAATCAACTTTATCTTGTCCTCTAACTAACTTTTGGATTGACTTTTTTAAAATATATAATCAGAGTGAGACTAGTAAACTTTACCCAATCAAAGAACTTTAAATTTGTGATCTCTTACATTCTCCACTAAATGTGTTTAAAAAATCCCTAAAAATTCAGCTGAATAAAATGTAATTAAATTAAAATTTTGGAAGAAACAATTGAATCGACTACAAGCATCTTCCTTATAATTTTAAAGTGAATAACGTGAAGTCATCTCCGACTCAGAAGTTCCATGGAGCTCCTAGATAAAAAATAAAATTGTGACTAATGTTGCAACATCATGTTCGAAGCTCAAATAAGGAAAACAATTCCCTAGTTGCTGCACTCACTCGAAGACACACATCAATAAAAACAAACATATGTTCGATGAATTCACTCCGACCGAGTCGCAGTTCATCTATCCTTGACAATTGCATCAGATAAGTACAAGAATCGTATTATTTCATACAAAAATCCAGACCACCTATTTCACCATGTTTCATTGTGTTTTACCAAACAATTTCAGAGTGCCTATCCTTGATGTACTCACGTAAGAATAATCTGTTACAATTTCGATTCTCGCGGACGATGCTGAGAATCAACCTGAAGCATCCGCTACCAAATTCGGGGTGCACACTCTCAACCACCTAGGCTACAAAACTCAACAGCGGACCTAGTTTGGCCGAGCGATGCACTCCCATTGGGCATCAGAACTGGCAGCACTTCCGCGGCTGTGCTTCAAGACGTGGAAACAAAACAGAAATCATGTGAGCTTAAGTTTTGAGGTATATTCGACATTTGCCGAATGAAGTTCAAAAACTTCGACGAACTGAAACGGACACGATTCTCGCAGCTCCGGGGTTTTGGCTCTTGCTGAGTTGGACTAGTAAACACAGCTGACTCAGCAGCAAACCCACGGAGATTTGCCACCTAGTTATTTCATGGCGCCAGCTAAGAAAAATTCCAGCTCAGCACAAGGAGAACCATTGGATGCGCTAGCAATCGGATCCCTTTCACCGTGGAAGTCAAGGAACTTCACTCGTAGACAATGAATGCCGCAGCAGACTCGTGGGGAGGATTTGGCCTCCTCGACACGGAGTCTGGAGCTGTTCTCTATGTAGGGTCTTCTAAATTAGGGTAGAGGAATGGCTAACTGGTGTCCGCTAAAAACAATTTGATAAGTCTTAGGAATGAGAGTTCAACAGTGCCTCGGGGCACGCAAGGATTCCTGCCTTTTTTGACTATGTCGGAGCTCTCCTCGTGCTGCTAGGTTCATGTGTCGTGTCTGGGGAGGGATGAGTCGAACTCTGGGCCAAATTGCAGTGACGTAAGGTTCTGTTGTTGAAGTGGAAAAAGGAGAGATGACGATCATCCTCAGAAAGTCGGAGGTGATATCTTTTGCGGTAGTGTGACCACGCGGCACATTTGGCCTGGATGGAGTTACAAAGTCAATGATGAACAATGTAGGGAGCGTGGTGCAAGTGGAAGGTTCTTGAGCTTCAGAACCACATTGCCTCGTCTGTTTTGATGCTTTCCTGGTTACAGGCTGTACACGAGTGTTGACTGGAATTTCCGCTATCGCGCTCTTGTGAACTTCGCGGAGCTTGGCGTTAGTTCTCAGTGACTGTGTGTGTGACGCTGTATTGCCGCGTGGCATCGAATAATCCTCTGGCTTTCCGTCCTATCTTCTGTCGTCGAAACTTCCCTGTTAGATTTTGCGGGCACGCGGGGACGTAGATGCCACATCGTTGTTTTATGGATGTTCGCTTACTTTCGCTTTGTGGACAAGTCTCGCGGGTGAAAGAAAAAGAAAAAGAAGTTATAAAGAATTTGTGAGCTTAGTTTTTGTGTTGCGAGAAGCTGCAACGGCAAGAGTCGTCACGTTTTGCTTTGAATTCGACTTCAGAGCATTCGAATCATTTAGCTGTTGGAAAGATGATGTAACATAAGGTTAAAATTCATATTGCTGAGGGACCTTTGATCAGCAGATAAAATTGCTGAGAAGGCCTCGTAGATGTGTGCTGGTGCAGTGGTTTTGCGAGTGGGCTGACCAGGAGCCAGCTGTGGCCCGACCTCCTGATGAAGCTTTAATCGATACGTACACATGTCATGTTTACTACGAGCATAGGTAGTTTTACGATCAACAGCTAATTCGTCCAACCTGGCTTCGTGTCCACGAAAAGGACAGACAGGCTCAGAGAGGGGGATAAAAAACGAAAAAAATATTCAGGTACCCCGTTTGCCATTTCACTAGGTATTGAACGTTTTGTCGCAGCACACCTACCACGGTGCTACGAGGTTTGTCAAAGGAAGACCGCTGAGACGTGAAGGGCTCCTCCATCCCGCGACGCTGGCTTGGGTCGGATACTGATGACACGTTATTTTGCTTCCACCGATAGTACGCAATTGTGAAGCAGAAGAAGTTGAGGGGTCATTGTTCTCAGCACGCGGAGGATTGCATATGGATATCAGAGTCACGCGCAGGGAATTGGTTATTGAGTGGACGGAGGTGGGAGAAGAAGAGCTTTCGTCGGAGGGAATTTGGGGTCTTCATTTCCACTGAATAGCTGCTTTCTCTCAATTCTTCATGATGATTCTGATCAAAAAAGATTGGTGAGCTGCGGGCTTCACTGTTTTGTGATTGCTCAGAACTCTTCAAGACAAAAATACGCAATTGAGTGGTGTAGATAGTAAGGGGCGCTGTTGTTGATCGTTTTTCTTTACTTTCTTTGTCGTTGCTTCAAAGCAAGAGCACTTCAAATCCTTTCTCGGCCGGTGAAACATTTTGATTGTTGAATTGGGCCAATTTAAAAATCTTCTTTCCGAAATAGCGATGCATCGCGTTTCGGTAGTGCTGAAGAGTAACGGGCACAGAGAAATTCCAAGCTATAGCTCGTTTACTTCCTTCTCGAAGAATAAACATGAAGCACCCGTTGCTTCGCACTCCTACTGGGAGAAGCCACGTTATCTGGTGTTGGGAATTTGCATCCTATTTTCTGTCTTCGCCCTCTGCTTCTTCATCCTTCCAGCTTCCATGGAGTTTACGGTGGGAAATTCGGAACCTGGTCATCAAGGATTGCTTAGAAAGAACTTGCGCGGATTGCAAACCGAGGAAACCACCAATGCGCTAAGTGAGGAAATAGGCGAAGAAAGTAAAAATAAAGAGTGGCGACTCAAGCCTGATCATTTCACCTTGTTCAATACTTCGAGTAAGTTTCTATGACCTACCTAAGCCCTGTCTCGGTACGTTTTTTAATAGTAGAATCGTTGGTCTCTCAAGGATTTCCTTGGATTTGATTCTTTATTTTGTAACTCAGGAAGTTGCATCCGGAAATTGCTCAAGTTTTGCCTAGGTTGTTGAAGTTTGGCATATCTTCAGTAGGGGATGTAGTTCACTGATTGCGGACCTTGTGTGTCATAGGTTTACTTACTACTCCATTCAATCCGTTGAACCTCACCAATGGAATTCGAATCTATGTCTACGACCTGCCGGCAAAGTTCAACGAAGATTGGCTAGCTGACGAACGCTGTTCCAACCATTTATTTGCCGCCGAAGTCGCCATTCACAAAGTTCTCATGACGAGTCCCATCAGGACTTTGGATCCCTGCGAAGCCGATTTTTTCTTCATACCTGTGTATGTCTCGTGCAAGTTTACCCCGAAGACTGGCTTTCCCTGGCTCGGACAGGCGCGTAAATTCATGGAAGCAGCTGTGAATCATGTGTCGACGAGGATGGAGTTTTGGAATCGCAGTGGTGGAAGGGATCACATTTTCGTCGCTTCACATGACTACGGTGCCTGTTTTCATACCCTGGTGAGCATTGGAATCTGATTCCTCAAGTAGTTTCAAATTTTTAGGATAGTATATCCTATACGTTTGTAGTTTATATCCGTTTATTTCTTGTTTATGCATGGACAAGTGTCCGGTTTCGACCAACAAGTTCGATAACTGATAATTTATCATACTGACTAGGGTACTTTTTTGGACATTGTGGATACAGGAGACAGAGGCAATCGCGCATGGAATACCAGAATTTATGCGAAAATCTTTAATTCTTCAGACTTTTGGAGTGCAAGACTTCCATCCTTGTCAAGCAGCAGAACACATACAGATCCCTCCATACGTCTCGCCCTCTGTCGCCGCATCTTACATCAAAGATCCGCCAGAGCGACAAAAGAGAAATATATTCGCCTTCTTCAGAGGGAAAATGGAGATAAATCCTAAGAACGTCAGTGGCTTGGTTTACAGCAGGTGTGCATCAATATCAATGTTCTGTGTCGGATGTTTCGTCTTTGTATGATGCGATTCTTTCACAGGAAATGCCCCTCAAAAATCTAGGTTACCAATTCGTTTTCTTTGAGAACATTTACATCCCTTGAGAGCAAAGGTTCTTCTGTTTATGTCACTCATCATCCGCCTGGTGCAGTTTTTAGCTCGGCTGCTCAGTCACAACTTTTAGTTCTTTTCGTTGGCCTAAACTAGTTATCTGTTTCATCAAGATATGAAATGCATGAGTTTTCCTAATTGGGTTATCTCGTTTTTGTAGGGGCGTGAGGACAGTTTTATACAAAAAGTTTTCACATAATAGGCGTTTTCTCTTGAAGCGGCATCGAACTGACAATTATCAACTTGAGATGCTTCGCTCCACATTTTGCCTGTGCCCCGTGGGATGGGCACCATGGAGTCCTCGCATTGTTGAAGCTGTCGTCCATGGCTGTGTTCCTGTAATCATCGCAGACAACATTTCTCTCCCATATTCACATGCCATCGATTGGACCGGCATCTCACTGAGTGTTCGTGAGCATGATGTACCTAAACTTGATAAAATCCTTCTCAATGTAGCCGCCACGAATTTATCCACCATACAGCACAACCTATGGAAGGAGGAAAACAGGCGCGCATTGCTCTTCACAGATCCGCTTGTGAAAGGGGATGCAACATGGCATGTTTTTGATCGCTTGTCAACGAAACTTGAAAGATCGTTTATCAAGCACTGAAGTAACTACAGGAATTGCAAAGAAGGAAATCTGGTATATCTGTGATAATAGCTAGAGGACCCTTTTCAGAGATAGTCAAATTGAGGAAGTGCAAGTGATGCGTACACAGGTGATGGGTATTAACCAGCGGAAGCCTCGAGACCCTGAGCATTGCTACGCAGACATTTTTCATCACAGTCGAGGAAGTCACCCCTGCACGCGGACGTGAAAATGAGAGTCCCAAATTCTGGGATGTGCTCAAAGTCCTGGTGTACAGAAACGAAACACAATTCATTTCATGAGATCAACTCCTGAAGTTATGTATGATAGTGGAAAAAGATGAACTTTTGTAGAAATCAGAAAGAGATTTAGCTGGGCCATTTGGGTTCGTGAGTGATTCAGGAAAACAATTGCCCTGTCAGGTTCAAACCTGGAATTTTCGAGTGTATAGTGCGGTCAACCACAATTTTTTACTTAGGACTTTCGCTTCATACCAGAGCGATTCCATGTATAGATTAACAACCTCCACAGAGCAATACATGTGGGAAGAATGCAATAGGACGGAGCAATTGATAACACCCATGAAGGAGTTGATGAAACTACTGTCTAATGGATGGACATCGAACCACTATCTGGAAGTCCCACTGGTTGCAGCTATGTGGGCGATTTGGGCTGAATGCCACCCCTGAACCCCTCTTGTGTTGGTGAGCGATTGCGAGTTGTCCTTGTTCGTTTTCGTTGGTTTTTCTTTGGAACGCTCGTAAGCTTCCATCACCCTCCCAAGCTGTGTCTGATTTAATGGCTCCAGCAAGATGTTGGGCCACTTCTGTACGTGGGTCTTGAAAACTGGTCTTCCATGGCTTTCTATTGTTGAAGGCTGATTCTGTGAGAGGGCGTGTCCCTCTTTTTCTTAATCCATTAAGATTCTTGTGATCGTAACAATGTGCATAATCAAACCAGGCTTCGCACTCTATTCTACTGTGACGATTCTGAAGGGGACCCAGGCGTTGTTGATTGTGTTGACGCTGGATTTGCAGAAGATTGTGGTGGCTTGATACGTCCAAAGCCGACAGGTTGAGACAATTCAGAGATGAAGTCCTCTGTCTTGACGAACAGCTTGGAAATGGATTCTTCTATCGAAGTTTCTTCGTCGATTTTGTCTTCTCTGATTTTGGATTCCAGGTTGGGATCCCAGCCCAAGCACCCTGCACCAACGACAACACCAACCCCATACCTGCCTGTCAACCACGCATGTGTTTCATACGTGATGCAACTTGTTCCATGTGCCAAGACACAACTCTAGCCCTACTTTGCTGACTGGTTCAAAAGTTTTGGCACGTCGCAACCGCTTTGATGTGCTCACGTACCAGCTTCTTCAAAGACCAAAAAGATCTGGCGCTTTAATTCACGAATGATATCTAGGAAGTCGTTGGTATCTGACAGATCCCATTCCGCATCTTCGTCTGCAAACCTTCCCAATTTGAAACGGATGGCTTCCTCTATTTCCTGTGACATCACCCAAAACGGGAATGTTTTTTCTGGACTCGGTAAAAGTAAACCAAGTTCTTTAAAAAAACACAGAGGATGCAGAGACACATTAGGTGAAAATCGCCGATGAGTCCATCGAAGAAGAATTATGCAGTATTACATAGATCGAAAGAAACATATACGTTGTTGAGGTCTTGAACATCTTGGACAAGCTGTGCGTGGCGGTCGCGAGCAGCTATTAACTCGGGCAACACCTCGTCGGCCTGATCCATTCTAAGGCCCAACACCTGTTGACAGTTCATGAACGCCTTGATCTCAATTAAACGTTCGTATTTCTTAGTGTGGGGCTTGGACCTAAACTTCAAGCGAGCCTCGGCACCCTCAATCACGAACATCTTCTTCATATCGTTTTCCTACAAAACCATGGTCCAGACAGCCCCTCGCCCCCGCTCAGAACAGTACCCCCGCCAACAACACGTCAACAGTTTTTACAACCAGATTCTATGGATTTCGATTGCCTGGAAGAGTATGCGTGGAGAGCATTACATTCACGAGAGCAAGAGTGGGCCGCTTGTTTTTCATGCGCTCGGTGCGCTCCTTCTCACTGGACAGCGCGGTCTCCGCGAGAGGCCTTCCGTCGAGACCGATCCAAGTGCCGTATTGCTGCCACCGCGTGTAGGCGTCGCCTTCTTCCATCATCTCCAGAATCTCTGGTGCCCACCTCAGGAAACCCATTCCAAATTGGCCTTAGCAATGGTTTTATCAAAGTGCGCACACACACACATTCACTTCGCTTCTTCCTGTTACACAAACCTTAGACATGCTTTCAACACAGCAGTCGTGAAACATCTACAACTCTTTTCCTAAACACATATTTTCAATCGACTCATGCACATCATCAGTTCAAAAAAAATAAAAAATAAAAAACCTGAAATGAGTTTCTGATAGTCATGCCGTTCATCATACAATTCATAGCTTTTATTGATGCTCGCATCGATTTGTTCCATGCACTCTTGAAGTTCAATTTCCATTTTGGCATGCAACTCTTCGAAGAGCTCATGCTCTGTCCGTAAGCTGTTCATTTCATCTTGCATTAACTTGTTGTGCCATTGGATTACGGTGAGGCCTTGCATTGCCTGCATACATCTCAATTTATGTATTCCTTTACATGATTATTCTACTTCGTACAGAAATCAAGGTACTCGTGGTTTACTTTTTTTATTATCCACTACAAGAATCGTGTTGTAGAAGTTATTGAAATGCTGTGCAATCTGAATGATCCAGATATGATATTGATAACAACAACAACAATAATAATAATCATAGAAATATGTTTAGTGTGTGTATATACTTTAAAAACTCGCTTCTCCAAGATATGAATGTGGATTTGGGTTGCATGACCATGTTCTCTAGCAGCATTTACACCTCCCATAACCTTTCTAGATCTATATTCATCATCATACAAAGTAAACGTCGCTCCTTCCAGCTCTTCGACACGCTTGACTTCCAATTCAATTTTGTCCATCCACATCTTGCATTCTGCATTTAACTTGCTCATTTCTTCCGCATAATCCTAATGATCATATACTTCAGTTGAAAAATGATCTTAATAAAAACAAGTGATAGCAATAAAAATAGTTAATGATTCATAGCATAGGTTAAGCTTCTCAAGTATCAAGTACCTCTGGATAAAAGATATCAAGTTTATCTTGTGTAACTTTATTATCAAATTGAAGACTATCCAACATGGATTTTTGCCGTTGCAACACTAATTCACTTTCATCATGAAAGAGACGTTGGCTCGCTTCCATCTTTCGAAAGATATAGTGTAATTTCATCATCTGTATCAAAGTGGAACTTCTTAGAATAGTATTGCAATTCGCCTTTGTACGTGTAATGTAATTAAATCAACTAGTTTTTCAACTACAACAATGAGGAAGAGTACTGAAAATGAGTTCGGAGTTTTCCTGTGGTAGAAAGAGAAATAGAGAAACTCTCATTAGAAATGTTTGGGAGATTAAGTCCCATAAAACTCGAGGTGATTTCGAAAAGGATAGGCAAACCCTTCCACCTGATTATAGTGAATGGAAGTGTACACAAAAGTACTAAGGAAGCTAGTGTTTGAAAAGATATAGAAAGACATACGCTGTGAAAAAGGAAAGGAAGAGAAAGCCAACAACCTCTTGCTCGATGGTCTTCTTCTCGAGGCCTTTGGAAATGATCGGGACCTTGCCCCACGGGATTATGACATGTTTTGGCTTCGCCGGCTTCGCAGGTGCCTCCGGGATCGGGTCCTTGAACGTCGGCACGACGCTCACCGCGCGGCACCACTGCACACATCCAAAGCTCAACATTCTTCATTGAACTGGCAGCGTCAAGGGTGCGAGGAGGATTTCATGATGTGAGGAGCAAGCGCGAGTGAGAGCAAGCCTCTGAGACCATGCGGCCTGGTGTGAAGCTCGCTCGACTATTTCTCTGGAGTTTTCAGAAAGAATGCGGCGAGAGTGAGTGGATCACGTGGCAAGTGAACATTGCTTTACTTTTTCTATCAGTCGATTCTGTTGGCATGTGTCGTGTTTCCGAATTATAACGTTACAGAACGCAGGTCAGGTGATGGTGGAAATTGAGGGAAGTGTTAAAGCGTGCCTTAAAATTGAATATGTTGTTCATTGTGCAAGCTGCTCTATAGAAACTCGGATTCGGTGGTAAAATTCTTCTGGCAGCCGCCTGATGGAGTCTAAAACCGTTCCGTGTGGCTATTGGCAAAATGCAGCACTGTCTTGATATGGAACGAGGATACGTTGCACCAGGTTCAATTTCGTGCCCGAACCACATGCATTGCTCATTCTTGTCATACCTCCTTGAAAAAACGATTTAGACACCTTAATTGCCAATCACATCTGGCGCAGCTTTGAACTTTTGGAGATTCTTGGTGATTTGAACTTCCTCGGTTGAGATTCGAAGGCAGCCAATGCACATCGCATGCAGTTATGGATTTCCCGGATCCAGTCGCGCCATTCATAACGATGACCTTCCGTGACTTGAATGCATTCAGGGCGTCTGCCAAACTCTGTTGCCGAACGGACATCGTGTCCGTCCTGACAACATTCAAGTGATATTTCTTCGGAGTGAGGATTTCTTTTCAAGCAGATATCGTGGAGCCGAGATTCATGTGGAATAGCGTAAGGCGAATCCTCTCAGGATTCGAGATCCTTTCGATTCATAACCTGAAGCGCGAACGGAGAGCAGTTAGGTTCACTTGAAGAAGAAGAATCATCGACGATGTCCTTCCGTCCACTAGAATGACTCGAATGTAAGTCTCACGCCCCTGTTTCTTCTATTTCTCTGCATCGCATTCTCGAAATTTAAGTCCGGGGTAGGAATCCTGCTTTCGGTGATTTTACACACACTATTGTTCAAGGGAATAAAATAAAATAAAATAAACAGATAAACACCCTATACATTTGGAAACTGTGGATGGCAAACGAAACGATTATATCAGATAATAATTCATTTTACAACTTATGTTTTGTAATCAAAACTACTGATGTTTATAGCTAAGAGTAATTTTAAAAAAATGTAATAAGGTAGTTGAATTGACTTGAGATTTTCTTAAATCTAAATTAAAAAATGTATTTACAAAATGATTTTAGGTCTACTATAGAAGTAAGTCTCATGGTTTTTGTTGATACACCGAATCAACATCAATCATCCATCTATATTTACATTTATTTCTTCTTTTTGGAGTTTTATTTAAATAAGATATCTTAGAGATTTGTATATAATTGTTATTAAGTATTATATATATATATATATATATATATATATATATGAAAGATTATTAAGATAGAATATGAATTATAATTAATATATTCAAGTCATATTTTATCTCTTAAAAGAAAAATCAATCTTAATTTTTTTTTGAATTGTAGTGTTACAAGACTATTTTAATATAAGATAATTAATATGATAATAAAATGAATTATTAATTAACTATTAAAAAATCAAAAAATAATTATAATTATATAAAAAATTATAATTTATAAGAACAAAATATATTTATAGTTTTAATTTAAATATCATATAATATTATCTTTTAATTTAAATACTATAAGAAAAAAGTTTAAAAGCAAATTTATTACATATCATTTGAATATATAAAAATTATTTAATTTATAATTTGTTAAAATAATTAAATTAAATTTAAAAAATCCTAAAGAATATAAGAAAACTAATGAACTTTTGCAATTCAATTACTGAGTCTATGAATAATTCTAATCTAATTAGTATGTTTTATATAGTATAATTATTTATTTTTTTTTAAATTTATTATATATAAGAAATATTAGCATTAGTATTTTATATTTTAATTATATTATATTATATATAATATATGTTTAGTATTATATCCTATATATATAGTAAGTATATTAAAAACTATAAAATATTTTAATATTATATAAGAACTATCACAAAATAATAATAATAATAATAATAAATATAAGAATAAAGATGTAAATAATCTAACTTATAATTTATTTATCTCTATTTTACTATAATCACCAAACATTATGTATGTTTAAGAATTATCAAAATACTAAACATTTAAAAATTACAGAGGTGTTATTTAACTTATATTACAAAATGATGTAATAATTATTCTTTTTAAAAATAATTCATTTATATTATTATGCTATTATAATGTATATTAAAAAATAAGAAATAAAAATATATTATTTAATTTATTAAATATTTTAAAATTAAAATTATATATATATATATATTCTATTTATTTAAAATACCAAGTAATTTTAAGAATATTGCTTGCAATATATAGATTCAAAGATGTTGTCAATGTTGGTGATATAGGTATAACTTAGATCAGTAGCAAGTTCATTTTATCTTCTTTTTTTGTAAGCAAGCTATATTAATTTGTACAATTTTATTAAGATACAATGGATAAAATGCACACATTTGAAAAATCAAATATATTTTCCACTTTCATATGTAATCCAAAGTAGCTCAAAATTGAAGCAAAAGTCTTAGACAACTAAACCGTTAAAAATCAATTTGACTTTTTTAATTGGATCTTTTAATAACAATTTAATGCTTTCTTAAAAGATATAGATGAAAGAATATTTGGTGAAGTTGTGGCTAAGTTATAGATGATTGAGTTTCAAAAAGAAGGTCTTTTATATGCACACATTTTGATCACATTAAAAGAATATTACAATTAAAAACAACTAAAGACTTTGAATCTTTGGTGTAAATTAAATTACTAGATCCTCTTTTAGTATCAAAAAATATTTGAAATTGTAATAAGCTATATGGTGTATAGATCATGTGGTATTAAAAAAACAAATGTCCCATGTATAATTAATGGAAGATGTAATAAGCAATATCCATGAGCATTAAATATAAAAACATGATGCTATGAAGATGGATATCTAATTTATTGATGCCAAGATGAAAGAAGAATCTATATTGCAAAAAATAGATGTATAATAGACAACTATCAAGGATATAAAATTTAGAGAATCAAAAGATTAATATATTCTTATGTGAGCCAAAAAGAATAGATAATAACTCAAAGATGGTATAATATTGAACTAAAATGGCTATTACCAAAGACAATAAAACTAAAGTCTCTTAAAACAAGACTAAAAAGAAGACAAGTATTGACAAGAGTGAAGAGGGCTTCACTCTTGCCTCCATATATATTATCTAACTAAGAGCTATGTAGCGACGTTCTATAGGTCCTCTAATATGTATCTAACTTGTTAAATACATGTCTAACTTATAAGTCAAGTTTCTTATATGTAAGCCAAATGATTAGCTTATATCACAAGATACTAACAAGTGTGATTTATGGCTAATTTGTTGAAAAAAAAATTCTAATATGCCAATCAACTATAAATGTATATAAAGCCAAATTCGTATCTATCTAGCTTCTAAAAAACTTTTTCATAAGATATTATCTAATCTATCTATATTTATCATCTATTTAATACTCTTTATTTAAATAAATATATATATATATATATATATATAGATATATTTATGAAATTATCTCCCTCCTCTCTTCTCTCCTTTTTCTTCTTCTTTTTAATGATAAGTTCTATGAAGAATAGTAGTCATACATTGAGAAAGTTCAAGATGAGGCAAATTGTATTTATTATATATTTTGATCTATATTTCTTTTAAAGATGGTTGATAGGTCCTTTAAGCCATTGATAGTATTTCATATAAAGGTAAGACGACCACCCTAATATTTGATGATTATTGAGGTTTCGATAACTTTCTTCAAATAAAACATTTGAAATACCATTAAAGATAGAATCTATCTTTGACACTATCACCTAACATTAGAAGTCTCTTCCAAGGTCATAATACTAGAGACATTGTTGGTATAAGAGTGTTTGCTTTAAAAAAATAGGCAACTTATAGTTGTCACTAGATATGGTCAAAAAATACCTTTCATTCAAATGAACTTTACTACTTTATATTTTTAATAATATATATGAGTTGTCATCTCTTCTCCACTCAATTAGGTGCCATAGCTCTATAGGTTTGAGCATGTCATCATTCTTTGAAGAGCTATTTAGTCTATATATATATATATATATATATATATATATATAGATTAAATTCTAATTCTTAAATTTCTCTATAACATATTTTATGAACAAACAAACCTAATGATTATATTAACATAAGATAGTTGACTTTTCTTTATTTAAAAACTCACTCCATCTTCATATTAATTCTTCTTGGAGAAAATAAAAGCTTTTTAAAAAGCTAATGATGAAAAGAACTACTCTTCAAAATCTCCAAACAAAATACTAAAAATACTATGAAAAATCTACAAAAGAAGATTATAAAGAGTAGTTAGCTCATTTTTTATTCTAAAATATACTTCACCTTCATGATAATTCTTCTTAGGGCAAGTGAAAGATTTTTAAGAAACTAAAAAAGAGAAAAATTACCTTTCAAAATTTTCAAATAAAACATCATAAAGACTCACAAAATTGCCAACAAAAATCTTAAAGAATTTTTTGAAGACCAGCTAACTCTCTTTTTATTCTAAAATATACTTTGTCTTCATAATAACTCTAATTTGAGCCATTGAGGGCTTTTCAAAAAGCTAAAAAAAGAAAAAAATCACATCTTAAAATTTTTAACAATATACTAAAAAAAACTATGAAAATTGCCAAAAAAATACTAAAGAAGACCTTAAAGAGTGGCTAGCTCTCCATTTACTCTAAAATACAGTCCATCTTCATGCTAACTCTTCTTGGCGAAAGTGAGAGTTTTTAAAAGAAAACAAAAAAGAGAACCACTTTTCAGAATCTCCAAACAAAATACTAAAAACTCTCTCAAAAAACTACCAAAGAAAATCCTAAAGAACCCTCTAAAGAGCAACTAGCTCTCTTTTTATTCTAAAACACACTCCATCTTCATGTTAACTCTTCTTGGAGCATATAAGAGCTTTTTGAAAAGCTACCAAAGAGGGTAACTAATTTTCAAAATTTTCAAATAATATACTAAAAATATTCTAAAAAACTTGCTAATAAAATCCTTAAAAAGACCTTAAAAAGTAATTAATTTATATTTTATTCTAAAATATACTCCGTCTTCATGTTAACTCTTCTTGGAAAAAATGAATGATTTTTGAAAAGCTAATAAAGAAAAATAATACTTTTCAAAATTTTCAAACAAAAATTTAAAATTATTCTTAAAAAACTACGAAAAAAAACCCTAAAAAAGACCTTGAAGAGCCAGTAGCTTTTTTTTTATTCTAAAACATACTCCATCTTCATGCTAATTCTTTTTAGAATAAATGAAATATTTTTAAAAAATTAACAAAGAAAGATTTTTTTTTTCAAATTTTTCAAATAATATACTAAAAATATAGTAAGAAAACCGCCAAAGAAAACTTAAAAAAGGCCTTGAATAATAGCTAGCTCTCTTTTTGTTCTAAAATATACCCCATTTTCATACCAACTCTTCTCAAAGAAAGTGAGAGCTTTTTGAAAAGCTTAAAAAGAAAAGAGTCACTTCTTAAAACCTCTAATTAAAATACTAAAAAAATCTCAAAAAAATGCCAAAGAAAATCCTAAAGAACCTCCTGAAAAGTGGCCATCTCTCTTTTTATTCTAAAACAAACTCTATCTTCATGCTAATTCTTTTCAGAGCAAGTGAGAGCTTTTTAAAAAGCTAACAAAGAAAGAAATCACTCTTAATTTTTTTTAATAACATATTAAAAACACTCTAATAAAAATACCAAAGTAAATCTTAAAAAAAAATCTTAAGAAGTAATTAGCTCTCTTTTTATTCTAAAACACACTCTGTCTTCATGCTAATTCTTCTTGGAGCAAGTGAAAGCTTTTTGAAAAGCTAATAAAAAAAAAAGAACCAGTTTTCAAAATCTTCAAGAAAAATATCAAAATTATTCTTAAAAACATGCCAAAAAAAACCATATAAAAGACTTAGAAGAACGATTAATATTCTCTTTATGTCAAGGA